GATCATGAAACCCACCAAAATCTGTTAAGAAAGAGTAATATTGATGGGGTGAATTTGATTGAGGTACATTATATTCATGTTGCAAATATCACAGTGAAACCCCTCTGTACAATTAAATTATGCTAATAATTTTTAAAAGTTAAAAAAGAATAAGGGAAAGTGAGCAAGGCAGTGAGCTCTGTGAAAGTGATAATTTAAGTGTGATCTGAATGTAACAATTTGAGGAAAAGACTGTTGCAGAAAAATGGAACTGCAAGGAAATGATAAGCATTTCTGCAACTCTCCGAGGAAGCTGAGTGTCACATCTGGTGGGGAAAAAAGACAGAAAGGTACATGGAAACCAAAGTAAAGAGTTTGAATAATACTCAAAATCCAAAGAGTTTCAATTAGGGGAGAATTGAGGCATATTTGTATTTTAAAAAGATTACTGAGCAGGTAGAAATTGAGAGACAAGAAAGAAAGCTGTGGGTGTAATAAAGAGTCTATGTAAAATGCTGAAACAATAAGACTAAGCAGCTATAGAAACTAATGAGTCTGGAAAGCATACAAATATGGGACATGCTTAGGAGCAATGCTAAGAAAAGAAGAAAAAATCTTATAGATATTCTTCTTCAACTGTATGGATTGAGATATATAAGCAACAAAGGACTGAAGTAGAATATTAACCACCTTTTCAAAGTAGAGAAAATAATTAGGAGTGTGTATGGTATTTTTTCTTTTACAAAATTTGAATTAATGTAGTATTATTTAACATAGCTTGAGAGCTTTGCTCTAATTAAATGAAAGCTTTCTCTCACCATTCCCCTAGTAGAGTGAAATATGTTCTATCAGGCAAAAGATAAATTTTTCTTAATATGAGCAATGTTTAATTTGTGTTTATCACTGCACAGTGAGTTTCAGTTTAGTTTTTCATAAAAGGGAGCATTTCATTAGTTTTTGTATACCATTCTCTGTGCTAAAAGTACAAATAAGATACCCACATGAAGAATTTCCAATTATATTAAATATAATGTCTTCAGTCTCCAACTGGAAACAATGGTGGTCATCTGATTTCAAGTCTCTCCATGTGGCCTCTCACCTACAAAGCACACTTAATATCTTATGTGTCAACCTAAATGCTACTGCTTGCTGTGTGCTGATTTTATATCCTGCTACCCTACTAAATTATATACCTAACAACATAGAGATTTAAATGAGTAAAATGACATTGTTTAAGAATTATTACTGAGAATAAATTCTTCTATAACCTGAGAAAAGAAAAAGGCTTTCTAATCATGACAAATTTAGGGAGACTCACTATCAAAAACAAAACAACAAAGAGAGGTCAAGAGGAACAGCACTTGCCTAGTGATCATGAGGACCTGTGTTTAATCCCTTAATGCAAAAAAGTTAAGTAAATAAATAAAAGTACACAAGTAAAACAACCAATCTCACAGAAAGTAGATAGTAGAATAGTCATCGGCAGACTGAGGGGTGGAGAGGGAGTTAGTCAATGCATACAAATTTACAGTTAGGTAAGGGAATGGGTTCTGGAGTTCTAGTCCAGAACGTGACTATAGTCAGTATTTGTATATTCAAAATAGCAAGAAGAGAGGATTTTGAATGCTTCCATTACAAAGAAATGATAAGTGAGGGGGTAGATATGCTAAATCCTCTGGTTTGATCATTACACATCATATATATGTATCAAAACTTTACCCTATACCCAATAAATATGTGTAATTATTATGTATCAATTTAAAATAAAATTTTTAAAAACCCTTGGTTTTCCCTTAGAAGTAGCTGATACAAGGGCAATATTGCCCAAGTCAGGATTTGCTAACCCAGTGGATCTCGTTGTGGTTCTCAGGCAGCAGAATCTGCAGCTGAGGTCAGGGTGCCACCCTGACCTGTGCTGGGGACAGAACCTGGTGATCTACAGTTTAACGCAGTTGGAAGGTGACTCTGTTGCACACTGTACCTCAGTCCTGCCCTTCTAAACTACAACATAATAATAATATTAGAACCATTTTAGAATTGTCAGGATGATTAAACTAGATAGTACACATGTAAAGATGACTTTATAAACTATAATCAAAGCTCATTGCTCATGGTAGATTATTATTGTGAGATGTAAAATTGTGTGAGAAAATTCTTAAATCAACAGTACTTTGTGCTTTCATCAAACTAATATTCCAAGAAACTTTATATTTTAAAAACAGCTTCACTGGGACACAATTCATACAACTCACTCAAGTATACATAATGCTGTGATTTTTAGTATGCTCACAGATCACCACAATCAATGTTATAGCATTTTCATTACCCAAAAAAGAAACTAACCATTAGCAGTAATTCCTAATTTCTCCCCCACTACCAACCTATCCACTTCCTCCCCCTGCCAACACCGGCCAATCACTTGTTTGTTTTCTGTCCCTATCTGTATATGTCCTATTCTGGATTCTACCCCCTCCTATCCAACTGTAATTATATATACTTTGACAAACATCTTTCTACTTCTTTTGTGCCTTAACCTCCAAGACTCTTGGAAACACTGCTCTAGTCTCTCTTTTATGAGATCAGAGTTTTTAGTACCACATATACATATGATCATGAGGCACTTGTCTTTCTGTGCTAGGCTTATTTCACTAACCAGAATGTCCTCTGCATTCATCCATGTTGTTACAAATGCTAAGATTTTGTTCTTTTGTATGAACAAAGAGTATTTCATTGACTATATACCCCTTTTTCTTTATCTATTCATCCATTGATGGATACCTAGTTTGATTGCCTGTCTTAGTTATTAAGAAACTTTAAAGAAGAAGGGATGGAGATATATAGCTCAGTGGTAGATCACTTGCTAAGCATACATGAGACCCTGAGTTCCACCCCAGCACAAGAAAAGAAAACTTTAAAGATTATTTCCTTAAACCTTGCCACACTTGATCCTAGGTCTTGCACAAAGGAGGTATCTCTGTAAAGCTTTATTGATGCTCTTTTTGATATAGTCAAACTGAGAATCTTAAAGTTCACCAAAAACCAAACTGGCTATTAGTTTTGACAGTTTAGATTCAATGGTTAAGGGTGACGTCTCTTCTCTGGAGTTACACTTTCATAGCATCTTCTTCAGCTGTGTGACCTTGGCCAAAGTTACTTATCATGCTGACTCTCAGTACCTTCACTCACACAGTAAGAATAATCTCACTGGGATGTTAAGAGCATTAATCATAAATTTAAAAAACTTATCCTTTATTCAATATTCTTTATTCAGTACTCTCTCTACACCCTGAATGCTATACTTCAATTAACCTCCCCTTTTCTTCTTCACGTTCCTTCTCCTTGCTTTCTTCTGGCGTTTCTGTTTGTGTCAGTATGAACACTTTCTTTTCCCGGCCTCACACATCTTCAATAAAGATGGAGAAAACACAAGCAGAGGCCTTACACACATAAGATGTTTGTTGTATGCTTTAGTGGGCAACTAACTAAGAAGTTTTATTGATCTCTTTGACTATATGGTGAAATAAGTTACTCAAAGAGAGGATTATGAGTCAGGAGAACCCAAAGGAGGATTATCATTAAACTCAGGCACAGTCTACCACAGAACTGCAAAATCTGATTTGTGATCTCTCCACACGGGATCCTGCCTGCCTCTAACTTACTTGGTAATTTGCCCTCGGTTTTACCGTCAATGAAACAAGGAAGTTGACATAGACAGCATGTGAAGTCTGAATATAACTTTTTGTTGACAAATAAACTGCTCATCTGTCATACTTGACCTATAGCTCATTGATCATCTTAAGTATTTTCAATGTAGGTATGCACCTCATCCAAAGTCAAAATTACAATTCAAACACACATCAAATTACACATGGTACACTAATAAGTTGTCATTTATGAAATGTATCTTAAAATTTCAGAACTATGACTGGAATTAAAATATCTTCAGAGGTAAAATAATTCACTCCTCAAATGTATTTAAAATGGTCACATATATTAAGTAGAAAGCATCTGCTCTAGTTGGCAAAATCAGATAAAAAATTTTTACTTTAAAAATCACTGTAAATAATGGTTATTAAAAATGTTAGAAAAACATAAAAGTTAAAAAGTATATATATGTATATATACATATATATATACATATATATATATACATATATATAACTTACAATCAGTTAGTAAATATACTTGTTTGCTCCTCAGAGAGGCCATGAGCAATTTTCTATATAATTAAATATTCTTCAGACTTTAGTGTAATGATGGAATAATTTCCAAAATATAGATCTGTCATATTTTTTAAATAGCATGTATTAAATCTTATTTTTAGAGCTATGTAAATCTATTTGTGGAGTTCAAGAATATTATGAAATAACAATTAAAACTCCACTCTCAAAATAAAACAATTTTCAAAGTTTGCCTTGCACTCTTTTCTGCCATGTATACATTATCTACAGCTTTTTCAAAAATCATCTCTTTATGTAAATTTATCTGCATTAAAATGCACACATTTAAGATGTACTGTTCAGTATAAAATTCTATGACTCTGTTAAATATATCAGCCTGTGATACCTCTATTATCAAGATATAGACATTTTCATTTACCCCAAAATATTCCCTCATGACCCTCTGCAGTCAGTACCTATTTACATCCCCCCACCCATTAGCCAACCATTACTCTTCTTTAACTATAGAATAATTCTGCTCTTCTAGGATTTCATATAAACAAATTTATACCGTATGAGCCTTTTGTGCCTGGCTTCATTGCTTAGCACACTGCTACAGAGATTTATCTGTATTGTCGAGTATGTTTTAGACCTTGTCATTGACGTGTTTGTTTTGTCCTTGTATGGTGATATTACAGATTTTTTAATCTATGGGTCATTTCTGATTTGGGACCATTAAAATTAAAGCTGCTAGGAGCATTCAGTGCAAGTCTGGTTTTGTTTTCTGCTTTTCTTGTCAGTAGTAGGGCTTGAACTCAGTGCCTTGTGGTTGCTGAGCAAGCCTCTACCACTTAAGCCACACCTCCAATTTTTTTTTTGCTTTTAGCTTATTTTTCAACTGGGGTCTTGTGCTTTTTTGCCTGGGGCTGGTCTCAGACCCCATGATACTCCTATCTCTTCATTCAGCAGCATTAAAGGTGTCAACCATCATGCCCAGCTTGTTTTCAAGATAGGGTCTCACTAATCACTTGTTCATTTGTTCGTTTGTTTCTAACTTGGGGTGGCCTTGAACAGCAATCCTCCCAGGTCTGCCTCCCAAGTAACAAGGATTGCAGGTGTCAACAACATTACCTGGTCCTTCAGTGCAAGGCTTTGGGTGAGTATATGACTTCATTTTCCTGATTAAAGACATATAAGTTGAACAACGAATTTCTGTAGTAGGAGACTGGATCATCCTTGGGCTGTCAACAGCTCCCTGACCATCTGTACAAGGGCATCAAATAACTCCAACTTCCTTCTATTCCCAAGAAAGTGATGATTGATATTCTGCTTCCCTAGAGTGAGAATCTAATGGAGTTGACTGGAATCACAAAATTCAAGCCAATCAGCAGCAGGGCAGGATCCATTGTTGGGAAAAGAAAAAGGGTTCTCATTTGGGCAAAAAACACACCCCTGCATACCCACTATAAACCAGACAATAAAAAATAAATAAACTACATGATAGGTTAGAAGATGATGTACACTATGCCAAAAAGGAAAAACAAGTGCAGCACACGTGGGAGATGAGGCGTGTGCAGGAAGAGAAAGCTGAACACAGTGCTGAAAGCATGGCCTGCACAGGCCTCGTGGAAACAGGGCACTTAATCGAAACCTTGGAGGAGCCACTCTGCCTACTCCACCTCCTCCCGTGATCTTTTAAAAATTTCCATAGAGGGTCATCCCTGGAATGATCAGATAAGATCTTAGTCATTACACATTTAATTTTAAGGTAAAATACTAAAAGCAAGCATATTTTGTGGCTTTCTTTTTAAAAGAAAGAGATACCCAGGAAGAAAGTTAAGAAAATGAAAGTTTAATAAAAGAAGAAAGATTAACATTTTCCATTGTTGAGATTATTTCTGATTCCCCTTACCCTTTAGCAATGTATCACTCTTCCCATAATTTAAATGTATTGAATATTAACTCATAATATGCATATCTTCTAACTTACCTAATGAACTGTTCCACCTCTGCTGAACAGGGGAGTCCTTTTTATGTTTTAGAATTATAATGCAGCCAGGCATGGTGGGGCACTCCTGCAACATTTATCTTCATAGTCTCACATCAACGGAGTCTGGTTTTAGACTAAAATCCAATAGAGGTAAAACAGTTAAGTAAATCAGAAAATATTATTATGGATTAATATTCAATACATTTAAATTGTGGGAAGAGTCTTATGATATGGTGTTAACTGATAAAGGGAATCAGAAAGTCTCATTTTAGACTACAGTCTTCATCTTTCAGTGGTTTAGAAATATCCTCAATCCCTTTTAAATTCCAGCATTGCAAATAAGAAGTCTAATGCCTGCCTGATTTTCTTTCCTTGTTAAACTTTTTTAAATGTTTTTTGAATTTATGTGTTATTGCATTAAAAATACATTTTAAAAGCTTCAAGTATTAGAGAAAAATAATCACCCATCTTCTTTATACCCAATGCAATTACTAGTAGCATTTTTATAGTTTTTTTCCTGTTTGTGCATTTTTCATTTAGTGCATTTTAGCAATGCTGGGGTTTGAATTCAGGCCTCTTGCATGCTAGGCAAGCACTCTATACCACTTGAGCCACACCTAGTTTTAAACTTAAGGTTTTTTTTAAATCATCCATTAGCTGTAATTATTTTGACAATTTTTATGCCCTACTTTCCTATTTGGTATCTTTTGCTTTGATTATTTGCTTTTATAAATAAGGAAACAATACTTTTATTTTTGATCAATCGTAAGACTTCTTTATTTTATATATTTCATATCTGCTGAGATAATAAAATAGTGGTGTGAGTTAAGATACCATTACTTACTGGCAGAGTGGCTCAAATGGTACAGTGCCTGCCCAGAAAACAGTGGTAAACGTTTTAACTACATATTAAAATTTATGTGATTTTAAACTTACACTTGTTCAAATAGGCATCTATAATATATATATGCAGACCTGTTTTTCAAAAAATTCCTGTTGAAACTCAACATTTTAAATCTAAAAACTAAAATTTTATTGTAGCTTAGAATTTAAAAATATTTCTTTGATGTTTGCTTCTTCACTTTTTCTTATTTCTAAAACTGTTTCTTTCATGCATTTTATTCCCATATTTGTTCTCCTCTGTGTGCCTCTCTGATCTTTATATTTTTATTCATAGTTTCTGTTTTTGCATTGTTTTGTTATGTTATTAAATATGTTCTCTTTGATCTAAAAATCTGTGAAAATTTTAGAATTTTTTCTGTGAAGTTTAAAAGCCTCAAACCAAGTTTTATTTTAATTTTCAGAAATGTTAAGTCTTCTAAGATTTCATACTAACACATGTGTATTAACATGTATGTGTGTGATATCTGAGCATTTCAGGATACACCGAATCTCTGAGACAGTGGTGAGCTAGCAGGATGTTGGTTTTTCACTCTGTTGAACCATGAAAGACAGCTCTCAATTCTCAAAAGCAAGCTGGGGGAAAATACTCTGAATAATATTGCAACTTCCTTCAGGTGTCAGGGTCAACAACGAGCCTCTGCCAGCTGTGTGCAAAGTGGGCGGAAGTTCCCTCTTCCATCTCCAGCTGCTTGCCCTCATACCTGTTTCCAGTACGACACACAGAAGCAATCATCTTTCCATTCCAAAGCCTTTGGCCCCGTTCTCCAGCTCTGCAAACATTGGCATAGACCTGACTTTTCTTTTTTTAAGACATGAACTCCTTGTGTATCTAAGATTGTCCCCAAATTCCAAACATCCCAGTTACTTAGAAACTGAAGTCCCTAGCAGAATGTTGGCATCAAGCTGAGTGGCAGGAACCGAGTGATGAACTTATTGAAAATCATGAATTGAATGTCTGCATGTTAATTTAAGGGCAATAGGAAACCACTGAGCCTTAACCAGGTGAGTGATCATAATTTATTCTGCAATTCAAGAGGAAATATTCCTGCCTTAATCTATCAAATATTCTGGGAAGATGGATGCTGGTTATAATAGGCTGTAAGAGTCAAGATTAGGGAAGAAATAGAGGATTAAATGAGAGTACATTAGAGTGGTATTATAGGTGCAAAATCAGCTAGAACTTGGTGATAGGCTGACTGTTGGGGATGAGAGTTAAGGGGGATTGATCGGGCATCTGGTGAACCAAGTGGTTGGCTGTGCCTGTATCAAGGAATGAAACACAATAGGGAGCTTAGGTTATGTTTGCTATCTATGTATATGTCCACATTGCTCTCCTTAAAAGTTAATATTTGGTTGGTTGGTTTCATACATGAAAACAGATGTCTCACAGTCAATTTGATTCCTACTTAAAAAATACTAACAAAGATGACATACACGCTTTTTAATGTTTATTTATTTATTGGTTTTTGAGACAGAGTCTCCCTACCTAGTCCAGGTTGGCCACAGATTCTCAATCCTCCTGCCTCAGTCTCCTGAGTGCTGGAATTACAGATGTGTGCTACCATACCTGGCTACATACACATATTTTAAGGAAATGTCTGTTAATACCTTTGCTCACTTTTCAGTCAGTTTTCTTTTTCTTGTTGATTTTTAACCTGTCTAAATAGTAGGAGATTACACCTATTTATCTCCTGCATTGTAAATATTTTTATCATTCAACATTTTATAAATGTTAAGCATTTATAAATGCTTAACATGTTACTTACAGGAAGTTTTCGTTCTGTTATTTTGTCAGGACTGGAGTTTGAACTCAGGGCCTTGTGCTTACAAAGCAGGAGCTCTACTGCTTGAGCCACACCTCCAGTCCATTTTGCTATGGTTATTTTGGAGATGGGAATTCTCAGACTATTTGCTCAGGCTGGTTGTTCCTGAACCGTAATCCTCTGGATCGCAGCCTCCCAAGTAGCTAAGATAACAGGCATGCGTTTTAATTCTTATTTAGTCAAATTGTTCAATATCTTTAACATTTTCTAAGATTCTATTAATACTTTGAAAGCCTTCTTTATTCCCTAATTATTTGAACAATTAGGAAAACTTTCTTTTATCCAATATTTTTATAATTGCATTTTTAAGCTTACATGTTTAATTCATAAAGAATTGATTTTGACGGATGAAGATAAGGATCCATAGATGTCTATGCAGAGTCCAAGTTAATTCATTGAGAATCATCATTTTCCCTGCCAGTAAAGTGATACTTTTTAACATGAATTAAATTGCTGTACATAGTTATGTCTACTTTTGGGTTCTTTATTCTCTTCCATTGTGTGTATTTACTCCTGTGCTGATCTAAACTGTTGCAATCATTGTAATGTTGTATTATTTAAATGTCTGCTGAGGTTATTCCAGTCATTACTCTCTTTTAAAAAAAAAGATATTCTTACATGTTTACTTTCTGCATAAACTTTAGAATCAGTGGTTTGAAAACAATCCATGATGATATTTTTATTAAGATCAGTTTCATTCTCAAATTTATAGGATGACTTAGGGAACCTTGTTATTTATTGATGTTGAATTTTCTTAGTCAAGAGAAGTGCCTCTCCTTATTCCCCTCTTTGTTTCCTTTGTGCATAACATCTCCTACTTTTTGATTTTTATTTGCAGAAAAAGAAAACTTGTTTTTTTAGATAAGACCTTTAGAGCACCTTCTCTTTGATTTTCCACCTACACAAAAATCTCCTTTGCTAATGACAGTTTTGTTTCCAAGTTTTATAAATCTTTTTTCTTTCGCTTATCTGATTGCATAGGCAGTAACTCCAGAAGAGTGATGAAAGTGTGCATTATTCTTTTGCCGTTTTCCCTGAATTTCAAATAAACATTTTATCAGCTTTCAGCAGACACTATAGACACCATAGAACATCCTGTATTTTTCAGTTCTCCTGCACTACACTTCACTGTCATTCTTTGAGCAATTATCTTTAACCCTGAAAATTCTCTCCTTTTTGTTTAAAAATAAAAGGCAGAGTTCTTCAAAAGGGGAGGGGAGGAGAAAAAAAGTTTTGGAGGGCACAGCCAAATGGAGCTGGTCAAACTCCATAGCAAAAGCCAAGGCCGAGGGCTGGAGCCAAGATTCCTTGGGGACAGGGCCATGCCCCCCACCCACTCCATGGAAGACGACACAGCACAACAGGGAGGAGTCGCCCCCCCCCCCCCCCCCGCATCGGTGCCACCCGCGGAGATGAAATGTGAGCCTGGGTGGCCGGGACTCCAGAGCTACGCCTCCTGCACGTTCCTGGAGCCAGAGGGGCGACACAAGAGACCCGGGCCGCTGTCCAGCCGGCCCCGCCACGCGCGCCTAGCTCGGCGGAGCCCCGCACGGCCTCCGCCCAGGCACCCACGGCCATGGCCAGGTCTGCGCTTCACCCCGCGCTCGGGGGCGCTGCTGTCTCCATCTGACCGCCCTCCATCCTCCACCACCTCCCTCCTTAGACTCTCGTTCTCCCTTTGCTCCAACCTCGGCGCAGTCTCTCTGTCTGTCCGTCTGTCCAGGAGCGCAACCTCTGGCCACCAGCGTGGATGGACGCCCAGCGGCTGCCCCGGCGTCCTGCGGTCTTGCTTCCCAAATTGGTCCTGCTCTTTGTCTGCGCAGGTCAGTGACAGAGGGCGGAGGGACAGGGTCCCGGGGCTCGGGGCTACGTTGGGGGCCACCGTCCTGTCCAACGCGGGCCGGGCAGGACTGATAGGGACCCGGGAAGGAGGGCACGTGGTTCCCGGGAGAGAGGCAACAGGCAGCAGCGAGCTGGGGCTCTTATCTTGACCTTCACGCAGTTTTGTTCTTTGCTTTAACTTTTCCTGTTTGGTTTCTTTCTCTTTGCAAAGCAACTTGGAAAGACGAGTTTAGAGGATTTCACTCTGGATAGTGTGAATCATGTCCAGGACTCAAGAGGAATCAGTCTGGGGTTGAGGGCGGGGACTGAGACTCAGGCAGACCCTTGAGAGCACCTGGAGCTTAGCTGAATTGCTGAAGTTTTAAAACAAGGAATCTGGTGACTTCTGTTTCACTACAGGCTACTCAGGGCCCCTTCACAGTCCACTCTTTGAGTATTCTGGTTTTTCCCTTTGAGAACTAAAAAGCCTTAGACGTGTCCTTGGAAGATTCCCAAGTATTAAGGGCTGAGCACTTGGATGAGCTGAACTAAAACACAAGGCATGAATTTGAGAGGCGTGAATTCTCCCAGTCTAGTCTTTTTGGGTGCTTGCGATGTGGTTGCCCTTTGTTGGCAAAGGGCACCTCGTTTCCCTCCTTCTAATTATCTCAGAGAGAATTACACTAATAATTGATGAAGCAAAGTAGGTTTTCTTGTTTTTTGATTGATATGGAGTCCTAAATGGCCTTTCACTACTTATTCAATATAAAGTTAATTATGCATGTCTCTTCCTATTCACAAAACAGTACAAGTCAAAACCAAAGTTCTTTGTTAAACGTTTTCATGTCTCTAACTTCCTGTGACACAAATCACAGGTTTACCTATGACTGGGGTGCTACCTGTGTAAATAGCCTTGTGATTCACCTTCTGATACTCAAAATACTGCGGCTGACATGAAAATGTTCTTCCATATCGTTGCATCAAAAGAATTGAGTAGCATTGTTGCATCAAAAGAATTGAATTTCTTATCCAACTTTGCCAGAAGGAAGTCACAATTACCTCTACAGAAACTTTTGTTTATTAAAATACAAATTAGTAGGTGTCTAAACCTACCATTTTAAAGATATTTTTTAGTCAGGAAAATGCTGACTTTCTAATGCGGAAATTCATAAAAGTAGGGAAAGTACCTCTGATTTAATGAAGAAAATTCACATTTTAATCTGATTGCAGCATTTCTTTACCTTAAAGCCTGTAAAGTTTTCCAACTTTGAAGGACTAAGTATCAATTACGTCAACACTAGTTTTTACAAACAAATAAATAAATCTTTATACATTTGAAGCAATGATGGTTCTTTCCACATTTTCTGCTTGTCAAAACAAAATAAAAATGAGAAGATACCAAAAAAGAAATGAAACTTTATTTCATGCCCTCCTTTGCCCTTACTCAACAACGCCATTGAACCACACATTTCTCGTGTTCTTGTGTCTGTGTCCTGTGGTGGACTGAAAGCTTTTGGCTTGCACACCTGTCCTGCCCTTACTCCCTCTCCTTCAGTGCAGAGTACACATGTTCCCCCTCCCCCTGCTCGGGAAATCAGCACAGCTGACCAGTGATGGATTTGGTTCCTATACGGTTTTTACTCCATTCTTTTCTCTCCTTTTGAATCCTTCCTTAGTGAACTACACAGTAATTACAAGCTAACATTAGGTTGACTTACGGTCTTTCATAAGAAATGTTTAATGAATAAGTTCTTTGGTGCTAATTCATGGACTTCTTATTTCAGAGGGCTTTTCAAGGTTGCTATATTCATTCAAGAAAAAACAGACTTTGTGCTTTTTTTTTTTGTACATTATCTCTGGGAGATAATGTATGCCCATAGATTAACTGGATGTATAAAAGTTTGCCTCACAGGACAGGTGCAATCTTATGCTATCACTATTCTAAGAGGGGGCTTCATTGCTGGTTTATGTGAGTAAACCTCTGAGGGTAATGTCTGTTTGGTTCAGCAAAATAGATTCACAGCCTTGAAAAGTTCCCAGTCCCTAGAGGAGCTCAATAAATATGTGCTCAGGAAAATTGAATTGAGGAGAGCTTGGAGGAACAAGATCATTGAAGAATATATTTTTCCCTAGACAAAAGAAGATGGGGTAGGATATAGTGGGAACAGGGCAAAACCATCAGATGGGTCTGTGCAACAAGAGATCACTTAATCTGGTTGAAACTAAGAGATACAGTTGGAAGTGTACATAAGGATTAGCAGGACACCACAGAAATAAAAGTATTCCGGGCATTGTAGTAAATGAATTGCTGGTTTCACAAGACAAAAACCTAAGAAGATGCATTGTCCTAGTTATTTTCCACAAAGAAAGTGCATTAAATTCCAGTTCCATTTGGTTAAATAAATAAGAACAGTTTTCTATACTTGATGTATCATGTTTTCTGTGGAGTCACTTTTGGAAAGGGACTCACTGAAGTGTTTATATTATTGTCCAACTCCCACTGCAGGGTACAAAGACAGGATTTGGTCAAGGTTTAACCTTCCGGGCTTCAGACTGTGCCTTCTGTCCCCGCCCTTTCCTTCCTCTCATATCCTTAGTTATAGTTTGCAAGAGCCATTTCTAAGCAAGTACTTCAAGCCAGACACCGCTTTTCCTATTCTACACCTAAGGTGGGTGCAGGGTCAAGCTGGGAAACTTTCCAGATCATTCTTTTAATTAAAAAGCAGTTGAAGGAAGTTAGAACTGGCTAATTTTCAGGGATATTAAGTTGGATATTAGAAGTAATATCATTTATCCTTTAAGGACAATCAGAATGTTCCACTGTTTTACAAATGAGAAAATGCCCCTGTAGAGTACAAACTCTGATCTTTATAAAACTATCCACAAATAAGCCAGAAAAAGCACTAACATAACAAAATAAGTTTTGGGGTATAATGGAAACCTCAGATTAAAGGTTGTGATTGTGAGTGCATTCGCCATGCTGTCCAATTTGTTCTTTTCAGAAGGTGACTTCTGGAAAGTAGACAATAGTACTGGAGAGTGACAAAAAAATAATGAACAATATGTGACATGATCTAGAGTTCCTGCAAATATGATCCAGCTTCTTGGCTGGAAAATTTGGGGCTTGGTTTCCTGTAATGATGGCTTACACCATTCTGATAACACCATGTCCTAATGACAGTAATAATTGGAGTACAATAGAAGTAATTGAATCTTTGATATTCATGGAGAGTTTAACAGGATGTTGCTGTCCTGAGTATCATCTAAAAGGCACCCATGAAGTTACTTACATACTCTCGCCTTACTCTAACAGAATAATAGGGACACTACCTCTCTCATGATCTGAGTGGCTTTTAAGAACATTAAGCAGAACATCCTTGTTAAACCCTGGAGATAACTGATCCTTCTACATATTCGAATCAATTGAACAGCACTAAAAATGAGAGCTACAGGAGAGGGTAATTGAAGGAAGTAAAGAAGGTGAATAAAGTTGATGTACTTTCTATACACGAATGAATAGGGAATATTCAAACCTGTTGAAATCACTGTAAGAAGAGGCCTAAGGTAGAAAGGAGAATAATAGAGAGGATGATCCTATTTGGGGTATAATAAATACATTTACATATATATGTATATATGGAAATGTCACAGTGAAACTCGCTGTATAACCATTATATCATAAACAAACAAAAATGTCTTTTTTTAAAAAAGTGAAAGATAGAAAGGTAAAACAAGTCCTGTCCAGGGATTGGCACCAGTGAGTAGGGAGTGGGCATAAGGAAAAAGTGAAGAAGGTCAAATATGATGGAAGTACTGAGTATTCATGTATGAAAATGGAAGCAATGAGACCTGTTAAAACAGTTCTGAGAAGAGAGAGGGAAGGGGGGTAAAGGAGAAAGATGAAGGAGGTAAATGTAATTAAGATATGTTGTAAGCACTTTTGTAAATGTCACAGTGTATCCCCAGTACAACTATAATATGCTAATAAAAAAATTGAGAGCTACAGAAATCCACTTGGAAAACTGTAAATTAAGCATCCTTCAAAGGCATGACGTCCTTTGCAAAAAGCACTTATTGTCTATACATTAGCTTCTCCCTTCGATTTAAATAATTCAATTGTATTTCTGTCTTCAAAATTTACAAGTAGATATAAGCAGTTACTGAAGTTTACAAAGGTATTGTTTTTTCCTCTCATTTCTTCTTACCACAATCCAGAGGGCAACTTCAAGGTTCATGTTGTTAAACTGGGTTGAAGAAATAAAACTTAGGGGAAGAAAATATGAACTTTCTTACTTGTTCCACAAAAGCCATGCATTATTGATAATGGCAGATAAACCCTGTTACCTTTGGATCACATCTTGGAAAGAGATCATTTCGGCACTATTCACAATAGCCAAGTTATGGAAACAGCCAAGATGCCCCACCACTGACGAATGGATTAAGAAAATGTGGTATCTATACACAATGGAATTTTATGCAGCCATGAAGAAGAACGAAATGTTATCATTCGCTGGTAAATGGATGGAATTGGAGAACATCATTCTGAGTGAGGTTAGCCTGGCCCAAAAGATCAAAAATCGTATGTTCTCCCTCATATGTGGACATTAGATCAAGGGCAAACACAACAAAGGGATTGGACTATGAGCACATGATAAAAGCGAGAGCACACAAGGAAGGGGTGAGGATAGGTAAGACACCTAAAAAACTAGCTAGCATTTGTTGCCCTTAACGCAGAGAAACTAAAGCAGATACCTTAAAGCAACTGAGGCCAATAGGAAAAGGGGAACAGGTACTAGAGAAAAGGTTAGATCAAAAAGAATTAACCTAGAAGGTAACACCCACGCACAGGAAATCAATGTGAGTCAATGCCCTGTATAGCTATCCTTATCTCAACCAGCAAAAACCCTTGTCCCTTCCTATTATTGCTTATACTCTCTCTACAACAAAATTAGAAATAAGGGCAAAATAGTTTCTGCTGAGTATTGGGGGGGGAGAGGAGGGGACGGAGTGGGTGGTAAGGGAGGGGGTGGGGGCAGGGGGGAGAAATGAACCAAGCCTTGTATGCACATATGAATAATAAAAGAAAAATGAAAAAAAAAAAAGCAATTTGGCCAGGCATGAGGTTTACACCTGTAATCCCTGCCATGTGGAAGGATTTTGGTTCAAGGCCTGCCTGGGTAAAAAGGTTAGTGATACTTTATCTCAAAAACAAACTGGGCCTGGGATACATATCTCTAATCCCAGCCACAAGGGAGGCAGAGATGGGGGGGATCACCATCCAAGGCCAGCCTGCCCAAGACACTATCTGAACAATAAACAAAAGCAAAAAGGGTGAGAAAGGGGTTTCCTAGCAAGCTCTTGGTCCTAGGTTCAAACCTAGCACTACCAAAAAACAACAAAAATGCAAAAAATTTCTTTTCTCAATAAATCAATACATGTCCATGTATTGATTTAATGTAGACATTAACTTAATACTTTGTACATTGAATATTGTAACTTTGATGGGAGAGCAAAAGCTTCATATAATTTATACAATAGTTGATGTTACCCTCAGGAATTGAGTTGGAAATGACATATTTTGTGATTTTTGAACATGCAACTTAAATTATCGACTATGCTTAGTGTTTTCCTAATCATTATACCTGAAATTCACATATCCATCATAATCTATGCTACTAATTATAACTCAGTGATAACCTTAAGTTGCAAAATAATCATTTAGATGGAATAAAGAATTTTTTAAAGCTTAGGGCAATTTATATTCAACATTTTTGATATAATTTTCCTTGTGGAAAAATGCATAGAAAAATAACAATTTGCTTTTATTGGCCATAGCATATCATTTTAATTAGAAAATATCTTTTCCTCCTGCACATTGTGCAGGTCCTTCAATGCAACATTAAGTAAACTATGAATTATTCACATTTTAATTATATCTATGGGCTTCTTTCGGTAACTAGCTCATCCTCTAAGCCTAATGAATGGATGGGATGCAGACTTTCTGTGTTACCATTTGTATGCAGACTGTAATTATGAAGGTTAAAAATGGTATAAAAGGAAAACACAATACATTGTCATAGTAAATATACACATTAGTTTTAAATTGTCAGTTTGGTATTACCCATGTCAATAATGCTTTCTGTTAATTGAGGTTAACTGAGAATATAACACCTTACAGTCAGAAAACTTCATCACCTAAAAACTATTATAAGAAATCTATTGACAAGTTGAATGACTGATTATTTGACTAATTCGCTCATTCATCCATTCATAATCGTATTCAATCAGTGCTGACTACCAATTACAGCTCTTGGTGCAAGAGATTCAGGATGCATGGTCTTTGCCTTTACCAACTTAGAGTATAACTGGGAGAAAGGCTAACTTATACCCTTAAAATGTTTAGAATTTTGAAGATGAAAATGAAAATCTAAGTGTCCTAAAAAATGGTCCCTGACTTATTAACTTGTGCATGGAAAAAATTTTCCTAGGGCGGTGATTCCACACTGTAACTGCCCTTACATTTTTCATTTTGTAGAAGACTGCCTTGCTCAGTGTGGCAAAGACTGTCGATCCTACTGCTGTGATGGAAACACGCCCTACTGCTGCTCCTACTATGCCTATATTGGGAATATTCTTTCGTGAGTAGTGGTCACACTTGACAATCTTGATGTTCTTCCTCCTGTCCAATTAGGGGGACTAAGTTTAAAATTTTCAAGGGGACTAAGTTTAAAATTGTTTATTGACTTAAAATCCTTATAGGAGGTTTTAAACACTCATCACTGTATAGTATACTGTATTATTTGACAAATATGCAAAAATTAATACGTTGCCCTTATTAGAAGGGAATATAAAAGTATTATTTCACTACTTGGTGTTGTGTCCTATAGTAATGTTTGAAGTTAATATTATTGATATTTTTAGTGTTGTCAGTGATATGCTTTTGTCTGCTGTGTTGGAGGATTTGTAAACAAACACTTGCTGTTTAATTATTTTCAGTTTATTTTCCATTCATGTATTAATTTGTCTACTGCATCTAGTAGTTGTAAAAGACAGTTATGAATAAAGAAGAGTTGCAATATGAAGTATCAGCTTTTTACAAAATTCACATAAAATAACTTGAGGAAACCAGTTTAGAGCCCAAGAAGAGGTAGGCATCAGTAAGTAAAGTAATAAACCATACCCACACAAGATAGAAATATTTACACATAGAGTGCATTAAGCATTTTCCCATAACAAATTAAGAATTTATTTTAGAGTTGCTTCTGAACAAAGGAAATGGGAAAGCAGTACCTGCCTTCAGAGTTAGATGTTTAGAAATGTGTATAGCTGAGAAAAAAAGAAAAAGAAGAAAAAAAAGTAGAGAATCTCCTGAGTGAGAATGACCCAGGGCTGTCAGATCACAGCAGTAGTCTAGCTTCTGTCCTCATCTGTTTTTCTTTTTCAAGTGCACATAAGGATGATTTGGGAACTTTTCTGTTCTCGAACAGTTCTGCTTAACTCGTGCCCTCCAAGGCTCTAGTGGAATATTAGGCGTTAAATTATATGCACTCAGCTATTCTGGGGACACATCCATTGAGACTGCTTGTAACACATCTGCCATTTCCAGAAATAGAAAACCTGGCTCAATAGAGACTTTCTAGTTAGTACGCACATTGGGCCTCCTAACAGAGATCATGTCGGTCAGAATATGTGCAGCCCCTCCTCCATCATACTTTGGGATTCTCGCAAAGGCTATCACAGCTAAGCAGGAAACATGAAACATCAGGCTGAAATTTTAAAAAATGAAAAATTTATGGATTTTTAAATGGAATTCAAGCAGTCTTTGAAATGTTAACAACGTCTAAATAAGATGTTTGAATTTTCCCTTATAGAAGATTTGTTAAGAAAGAGATCAAGCCCCTGTCAGAATGATTTTTACAGGAATTTATTAGCTCAAATATACAGAGCACATACTTACTTATTAATCAGAACATGTTAAACATTTTAATTAGCAGATATGCTGTCTATGATTTACATTAGCCAACAGATTTCTATTATACATGCTCCAAATCTCCAGCTAAATTCACCATTTAACTAAAGTAATACATTAGTTGTGGTTTATCTAGGTTATTGGGACCGTGTACTTGCTATGTTTGTGGGGGAAAAAGAATTATGTTTTGAAGGGGAAGATAAACACAGGTGGCATTATGTTTCAGGCAGTTAAAACTGAACTTGATGTTCAAAATAGAAACCACTGAGTAAATTCCTTGCTAAACAATTCTTAGAAAAAAAAAGAAAAAGAGAGAGAGACTTTAAAGTCTTTTCCTCACTCAATAAAGGAGAATAGCGTTTCAGGATTTCCACTTATTGTTTAACATTTGAAAAGAGTTCTTAAACTCCACCCAAGTTTTGTGATTTTTTTTTAATTCCAATATTGCTGTCTTGGAACTCATAAACTATGCTTCCTCTCTTTCAAGCACACAGGCACATTCTTGGTAAAATCATTTTCATCGTCTTCACAGACAGTTAAATTTTTGTAGTGATCAGAAAAGTAATAAGTAAGAAAGCAATAAACACAATAAAATACTATGTATCTTTAATGAATAATCTCATAATTTGGTGTTTTGTTTTGTTTTGCTGGTTTTCAAAATTAAGATGTCAGTTTAAAATAAGCTAAAGACAGCACAGATCATAAATTGGGCCGTTCTGGACTGTTTATGAATCAGCAATGCTGTGTCTATCCATGAGACCCTTCTTGCGGAGGCCTCCCAGTAGTCATCCACCATAAGAATCAGTTGAGGATGTATCCTTAGCTCTTTAACTCTGGTTTCTTCAATTGCCCTTGTTCTTTTTGCAAGGTAATTTTTAAGATTCATTTTTGAAGACATTACAAGAACTAAATTTCCATTTCTTTTAGTTAAAAAGTCTTATTTTACTCATTAGTTGCCCCCCTTCTTTTCAGATATTTTCTATTCTAAATATGAGTTACTCTTGGCAAATGAAATAAAATTGTCTTTCCTCCTCTTTTTTTTTTTCATTTGGTTAGGAATTTTAAGACTTAATTCTTTCATAAAGAACTTTCTAAATTAAACTTAATAAGATGGCAAATCTACTTCTGGTCATTACAGACAAAGATACTCATTCCCATATTGGAGAATTATAATGTTATCTTCCAAAATTTAAGAATAATTTTTACTCTGATTGCCATATAATATTCAATCAATTAATTATTTATAAATGTACACAGAATGACTGTGACCATGGCAAGAGATGGACTAAGTTCTGGGATCCAAAGATGAATAATGATGTACTTCGACTTATAAGACCTAGAAATCTGATGAAAGAACAGAATGTAGACAAATCTAATCCAGTGAGCTAATGTATGATGAATTGTTGGAGAGCCAGAGAGAACATCTAAGTCTGTGCACTTGTGTGTGTGTGTTTAGAATGAGATGTTTAAAGAATCTTCATAACTGGCATTTGATCAGAATGTTGAAGGAAGAATAGATATTTACAGATATTTATTTATGCAGACAGTGAAGAAAGGGAAATGCATTCCAGACAGAGAGACTCCATCCAAAACCAAAGACAGAAGAAAGGAAGCAATCAGTTTGGTAAAGCCCATCTTCTTCAGTGTAGTTAGTGAGAGGGGGAAGGTTAAACTTAACTAAAACATAGCAGGTCAGATAAAAGGTAGATTCTTACTAACATATTCTTATGGGTCATGCCTACCAAAATTAAAAGGAAATAATTCAATATATTTCTGAAATAACTAGACATCTATTTTAAATAGAAAGGGCACATTCTTAGATACCACTAAGAAAAATAGACAAAAGTGAGAAAACTCCATATGAAAACTTTTTATTTATACCATGTATAAAATCTTCCGTATGCACATTTTGAGATGATATATTGTTTTTGGACCATTTTTGATAGACTAGGTAACCTTGTAGTTATTTCTCCATTTAAGAGCCTTTTAATCATGTAGGCAACTACTTGAAGATTAGATGTCTTAGTGTGCTTAAAATGAGAATTTGGGCCAATTTGAGAAATAAACATTTTTCTACCAGGTTGATTCTCAAACATATCATTCAACAACTCTTCTCTGTGGAAAATGAAATACTTTGATGAATATGGAAAGAGATATTTACATTTTCACTGCTGATGAAATTTAACTGACGTTCCCTAGAGAGGGGTCAATGAGGATGAGATTAGTAGAGTACTCTTTAGAATTGGTGGAATCCAGGTGAATATAGGGTACAATTGGGCGGCTTTACCATTATCCATTGGAACCAAAAACAAGACTGTACTGAAAATGAAGGTAATCTGCCATCTGAGTAAGAGAACAATTGTGCAATATTTAACGTAAGCCAAAATATTGACCAGTTGGGACATAGTGAACCTGGTGACATGATACAAGATTTAATTTCCTAACTCAAAAATAGATTTTTTTCTTTTCCATTTTGCCATTGTAAAATGCTGATCTGTCTAAGATTCTTCAGAATACCATCTGGCCAACATAAAAATCCCCATGGGGGCTGGAATCAAGAGGAAGAACTAATAATGGAGATCCTGGTGGGATTAATTTTGTTTTCTCTTCAGTGAAATGTGAAAGACGTATTACCAGCAGTTTTGTAACAATGACTAATAAATATCACAACTGTGGTTTTAAAGCCAGGCTATGCATGAGAGCAAAACTAAGTTAAAGGATAAAGGTTTTATATTTTCAGATGGTATTTGAGGTCCTACAATCATTAAGTAGCTGAGTGTTCTGAATTAAACTCCAACAGAAACAATGCATTTTAAATGACTTTTGACATTGGGTAAAACATGGAAAGCACAAAATGCAGGACAGTCAGAGAGGAAGAGCTTTCTCTCCAATGTTAGGGTGCTGGACGACTTCTGAAGGAGGAGTAACTCTAATATTAAACTCAAAAGGAAAAGCAATTATTAAAATTCATCCCTCAGAGTTAAAACACTTAGAAAACTAAGAATATAGTAGAAAAATATTAATTTAATAGATAAATTAAAAAAAAAAAACCCAAACTCACTGATGTGATGTTAAAACCCTTTATTTTAAAGGTAACAATAAGACAAGCCGTTGTCTTATCACACTGCTATTCAACACTGACCTAAAATTCCTTGTCAGTGCAGTGTGATCCACAAGACAAATACAGACCCAGGTAAAGGAACTGGAAAGGAAGAAACTAAATTACTGTTATTTACAAATGCTGTGGTTGTCAATACTGAGATTATTTAAAAAAAAAAAAACAGCTAATAATGGGATTCACCAAGACAGCAGGGTATCCAGTCAGTGTACAAAAACTACTTGTTTATTGCTATATTCCACTATTCCCAATATAATATTATGAGCTGTAAGAGACCTGAGGGCAAATCTCAGTGGCAGAGCACCTGCCTAGTAACTCCCATGTGCCAGGCACCATTCTAAGTGGTTTGTGTACATTAATTTAATTCACGCAACAACCCATTGGAGTAGGTTTTATTATTGTATCCATTACATCCACCTTACAGAAGCCTTGGATTCCACCCACAGCATCACTGAAAAACAAAGAAGCAAAACTGCTAATACCTAGTAAGAAATCCAGTAATATGGGCATGGCATTTAAAGAGAGACCTACAGAAATTAATAGGTATATTCAAATTGTAAATGGACTGTTGTAATAATGTCAGTATCAGAAACTATCTGTAAACTGCATGCAATTATAGTCAAGTTCCATAGGACCACTTTTTATTAAATTTGAAATACAAGGTCTACAATTTATTAGAGATAGTGAAGGACCTAGAACAGTGAAGATAATGAAAAAAAAAAACAAGGTGGAAAGGCATGCCTTTTAGACATTTATTATACATCTACAATCACAGATACTCAGGAGTCTGAGGCAGGAAGATCTCAAGTTCTAAGCCAGTCTAGGAAACATAGCAAGACTCTGTCTCGAAAAAAAGAAAATATTTCTTACAAAATTATAGAATACATATTGCATAATATCGGATCTCAAATAAACCAAAAGAATATAGAGCTTAGAAACTGACATACATATATATATATATATATATATAAATGTCAGAAATATATATGACAGAAACAGCATTAGAAATCAGTAGAGGTTGAATATATTATTTAATAAGTGATGCAAATAAAATTATGACCATTTGAATAAACCTTAAACTAGATCACTGCACTCCTCTTAGACTAAAATAAATACAAAAGTCAAATATTTATAATTTTTTAAAAGGAGGATTCAATAATATTGTGTCGTATTTTCCAAAAAGATATAAGAAAGGATTTTGAATGTTTCCATCATAAGAAAATGATAAACATTTGAGGCAATATATATGTTTAATCTAATTTAAACATTATATAATGTATACAAGTATCAAAATCTTACATGATACTCTATTAATATGTTTTAGGTACCATATAATTTAAAATAAATCTAATTTAAAAATGAAAAAGGGGAATAGCATCATGGAATTAGAAAGGAACCATTTCTAAATAAAAGAGGAAAAGCACTAGTAATAAAATAAGAGGCTCCACTATAACTACTGAACTTTAAAGTGGTGAGTTTCATGGTATGTGAATTATGTCTGTTATTTAAAAAAATATTAAATATATAGGGCAATAGAATTCCTAAATGAAAGTATAAGGCAAATCCCCCACTTGGAGAAGACACTTGTGATTTATACAATTCACAAAAGATTCATATCCACAATACCTTAACAGGAAAATGGGCAATTCATAGACCCCCAAAATTCAACAGAGCAGAAAACCAGAAGGGTCATAACCGTGTAGAAGATGCTTCACATGGCTCACTACAGCAGGGAAAAGCAATATAAAACAATGAACTACCATCCCATGCCCATCAGACTGATGGACACTTCATAAGCCTGAAGACACAATGAGGGCAAAGATGAAAGTGCTCCCACATGGCTGGTAGAGAACATAAACCTTAAAACGACTTGCAGAGCAATTTGACTCCATATAGTAAAGCTGAAGATGGATGTATTTTAGGACTTAGCAGTACCAGTACTCTTCAAGATATAGTCCTAAGAAAATCTACCTTAAATAGATAGAAATCAAAATTGATATTATAAGAGAAAGTGTGTTTGGTGGTGGCAGAGACTCTTAGAGTAGAGGGACTACTAAAGAGTAGTCCCTTTTTTAATGCCCTTTTTATCTCAGATGTTTAAAATGTATTAACTTATTGATCTTCTGATTAGCTCTATGATCTAGATATTATTGTTATTTTTAACTGTATAAGTAAGGAGGCTGAGGCTCAGGGTTAAGTAATATGTCCAGTTCCACACAGCTGCTATGTTACAAGCTGGTATTTAAAACTAGAAGTGCTCAACCTCTTTCTTTCTGCTACTTCCCACTGGCTCCAGAAGACCTGAAGATCTCACTATAGGATGAATGGAAATGGTTCATGACTGTTCTTAGGACTGTTCTTAGTTAGGAAGACCTAACTGCCATATTTGGGGAGATACTTTCCTTATTCTTCATATCTCAATTAAATCCTGTCCTATATGATGCCACAGTATTTCTCTGCCCTATTATTTATCAGTTTACTGAAGTTCCTAAGGTACCTGTGTACACTTCCACACTCCAAATCTGAGAGGATAAGAAGCCCATCTGTCAAAGCCACAGGGCCTGTAAGATTGAAAGATACAATAACAAATCATTTAAGTGCAGGCCAGTCTTCTGTTTTAATCATGAACAACCTGAGAGTCTGTGGGCTCTAAATTATTAAAATGCATCATCTGGATAAATATTTGTTTAGATAAATCAAATCATAATTTGAACATGTTATTGGTTTCAGAGACTATCTTTGCATAGAATACAGATTAGATATCTTCACGGAGTAAAAGGTGTAATAGAGTCAGTTATCATTTTGTAACCACACTTTATAATGAATTATAATCAAATGAGAGGTATTAGAATTTAAACACTGATTTGATTACAATGATTTAACTTATTTTTCATATTTCCCTGTGAATGTGTTCCATCAATGAAGCAGTGTCAACCAGCAGACAATAGGTTCTTATTCAACTGTATTTACTTCCACAATTTTGGGAGATAAAATGTATTGTTGACAAGATTAAGGAGAGAAAAACCCCATATACCCAGTGATATTTTTTTCTCCATTATATTGGAAGAAATCTGGCAGGAAGCTGTAGCCTAGAATACAATGTCTCCCATCTGTCTCCCAACTGCAAAATGTTAGGATGAACACACCCATAACTAATGAAAATTTCAGAGGGCAATGATAACCTCATAAAGTGTAATAGGATTTCATCTGAAAGTGCCACGGGTGAAAGCCTTAGCTATTTAACCCATACTAACTCTCTGTGACTCAAAGACAAACAGAATTTTTAGTTTCTATATCATTGCAATGGAAAAGGGAGGAAGAAGAAGATCTTACATGTAAAAAGGATTTTTATGCTTTTGCACAAATCAGACAAAAATAGAGAAAAACATTACAAATTACTTTGAACATATTTCTGTATGAATTCACACTGTCAAAAGGGTGAGCAGAGCTGCATCTCTCCATGCTGGATTTTGCTGATAATAAATGCTATCTGGAGTTGCAAATAACCAACTCTACAGTGATATAAAACATTCTTCCTCTGCACACATCAGGAGTAATATAAGATCAGCTTCCAAAACATTATACATAGGAAAACACTAAAAATTTAAAGTTTTTTATTAAAATGCATTTATCATATGTATGAATGTGATTTAATGTGATATTTCAACATAGTATACAATAACCAAATTCAACCCCCAGTAATCCATTTCTCTCCCCAACCTTTAGTAATTCTGCATTCAGGATAACTTCTTTAGTTTCCACATATGAGAAAGACCATGTGATAGTTGTCACTCTGTCTGGATCTTTCAGTTAACATGATATCATTCAGTTCCATCTATTTTGCAGCAAATGACAGGATTTCATCCTTCTTTGTAACTGAATAGTATTCCATTGGGTGTATGTATGTGTGCTCAAACACATATATATATATATATGAATGTGTGTGACACACACATATATCTATTTTTTTCCTCATTCATCCATTGATAGACATCTAGCTTGATTTCCTAAGTTAACTGTTGCCAATAGTTACAATTTAAATTTATCAAATAAATGCTGGAAACTCTACTTTGCTGTTGCAGCCATAAATGATAACCATCTTTACATTGAGTAGATAGACTTTACCCTTTGCAAGGAAGAGTTACACAGGAAGCAATACTTCATGGTTCTACTTTTAATAATTAGTAATTTTAGCAATAGGAGATTATAGAAGTGAGAACACAAATGTTTGGGTTCAAAATTTCTCTTCTTTAATGCTGTACAAACTTAGTTTGCTTTATATCATTGAACCTGTTTGTTAATGTATGAAGAGGGAATCATAGGAATGACTTACTTTTTCTGGTAATAAATCTGAAGGATATATTTGTACATAAAGGCACTCAGTGGGACTGGACACATTTTCCCTATCATTAATGAAACATTGGACTTTGAAAACATCTGGACTTGGGGGAAAGGAAAAAGATGAGGAGCAAAATAACTTCATCAAAGTCATCTGGAAAGTATATGACTGTGCAGGGTGCCACTTTTGGTAAGGGACTCTCTCCCTGGCCTTCTAGACTATCAACAGAAGAATGCCACTGCTAAAACACAGGCACTTCATCCCTGCAGAACACCCATGGCCTTCAGTGAAGTAAATGGTTCTCTTAATCAAAGGTGATTGCAGTCTGATAACTGCAAAGGCAGCTAATTAAGTGCTGTCCTGATGCCCAGTGGTGCCAAAAGCATAACACAGCTGGAAGAGTCGTATGCATTAGGTATACAAATTTGTCATTTACCCTAGGTGGACCCGTGAGTTAGACTAAGAAACTGACTCAGAAACAGGGACCAGTCTAAATGAAATACCCGAACCTGATTTATGAAAAAACAACACATATTATTCCAAAAGTCAGAGGGCAATGCTTTGCTTTGCAAACAGGTTCATTATAGAATTCCAATGAATTCCCTTTTGCATATGCCTGGCTCATCTTTTTGTGAATAGTTAATGTATACAACAGTGTTCTAACTATTGGGCATTTCAGTAGAGTGATCACAGAGCTTTATAGAGATGAATGTGCTTTTGTGTGAAATAGTTTAAAATTGCCCTGATTCGGTCTTTTAAAAACTGCTCTCTCAATAGAAGTAGTGTTTATAAACTTTTCAAGAATTAAAAGGGCCACAATTCATCTTAATGGTATTAAACAAAACCTATGTTTGTAACAGTCTTGAGATTGAAAGTATTTTCAGTGGTAGCAAACAAATGCCAAATAGCATGTTAAATAAAAAGTCATTGATCATTGCAAGGATCAACTCAAGTCTATCAATTCTAAAAATAAGTTTCAGTTTATTCAACTTCTTGGCTTTACACAACCAACTTATTATATATGTTATATGTTTTGCATAGTGATTGTGGCAAAAGAGTTTTTTTAATCTCATTACTTTTAACTGAAAGGGTTGGTTCTGGTTCTGAGTATGATGGAGAAAAAGCACACTCTGCCCTAGGCCTCCAATCAATGTAGCTCTAGAACCTGGACAGGATGTATAGAGCAGCTAACTCAGGACTATGGAAAGTCAATAATACCAGGCAGACTGGGGAACAAAATTCCAAGTGTAACTGTATAACTATCCATATGTTTAGCCAGTTTTTTCCTTTGTTTACTCAACTCTGGAGTAAACAGCCTAGACACATAAGTGAACTGCAGGAACCTGCAGGAGGAGCTCTCTAGCTATGGCTAAGTAAGCAAGGTCTGTCTGTGTGCAAAGACATTGGGGGATATTCTCCCAATCTCTTGTGCCTCAATTGCCCAGTGATCATTTAGTTACTGATGCAACATTAAGAACAATAGCAACAACAGGACCCTAAAACTCTGAAAATGGGGAAATTTTCTTTTTGATCAGAATGGTGTAGTATCAGGAGGGTGGAGTAATTCTTCATTGCTTTTTTTTCTCTCTCTATGCACTCAACCCTGGATATGAGCCCATTTTGTGCACATATTCAGAGAGTAAGGACAATAAAACACATCTTTCTGGCCAGAGATGCAAAAACAGTTGCTCTAGGGAACCAGAAAGTAGTAAGATGGAGAAAGTCAGGATGGAAACGACTCTTATAGTTGTTTGTGAAGTCTTGGACACATCTTAGGCTGCACCTGTACTTCCTATCATAGATCTTCAGAACTGGATACAGGTTAGACAACCACCCAAGCCCCACACTGGCAATTGAGTATGGTACACACAGGACCAATCTGAACATGACTAGAAGCCTTTGAAAGTGGAATTTCCATTGAAACCGCAACCCACAGAAGTCTGGTTGGAGCTTATGGTGTCAGCTGAGCCTAACTAAATCTGGAAATCTCACAATATGGAATTCAAAAAGTCCAAGAAAAATTCATTAGCATCTGTTGTAAATATGATCCAAAAAGTAAGGGCAAATTCTATTGGACATTAGTGTAAAGACTGAAAATCCCCAAAAAAGATATAGAAAACATAAAGAACAAGGTGAACTTTTCACAACAAAAAAATATAGTGGCCAAGGTTAAAAATATTCTCCAGATTGGCTCAATAGCAGAATAGAAACGTCACAGTACAGAATGAGTGAACCTAAAAGAAAGCAACAGAAATTATTCAGTTTGATACTTACCTAACAGAGAGAAAAATATGGAAAACAAATGAACAGAGCCTCAGGGGTCTGTGTGGGCAGTGCCTGACACAAATGCCTGTGAGAAGGTCTAGCATTCATGTCCTCAAAGCCCCAGAAGAAAAGAAGAGTAAGGTGCTAAAAATGACCATGTTTAGTGAACAAGATAAACTACATATTCAATAATCTCAGCCAATTCCAAAGAAGATAAACCCACAGAAACCCATAGCCATACACATCCAAATCTAATCAATAGAAATTAAAGAAAAATACCAGAAAAGCAGCTCAATCACATTTCTCATCAGAAGCAATGAAGGCCAGAAAAGTAGCATATTTTTTAAGTACTGAATGAACAGAATCTTCAATCCAGCCTTTTATAGCTAGTAAAAATATCCTTCAAAAATAGAAATGAAATAAAGACATTTTTAGATTAAAAAACTAAGAAAATATTAAGCCAGAAGATCATATCTCAAATGGTTGCTGAAAGAAGTTCTTAGGAAAGAAAACAAATAATACCTGAAGGAAACTTGGATTATCAGAAAGGAAATGATTTTAAGAAAACTGGTATAAATAATAGACTATTTCCCCCCAAGTCCTTTAAAATGCATTTGACAGTTGAATGCAAGAACATGACATTGTATGATAGCACTTTCGATTCATACAGATGTAATATTTAATAGCACACATGGGAGGGAGGGAAAGAGAGATCCATAAAACACAAGATTCCTGTGTTCCAACTGAAGAGATAGAAAATTTGTTCCAAGTGATTATGAGATGTATACATTCCATAATCACCTACAATACTCACAGAAAAACAAAAACTATAGAGCAATGTACTCAAAATCAAAATAGACCAATTAAAATGTATTGCTAATAAATGTTCTTATAACCAAACAGGGGGTGGGAAAGGGAAATCAAAGGAATGAAAAATAGAACAGACAAAAAGCAAAT